AATAAATTTAGTTGTGAGAGAAATTTGAGTTTGGGTTTATGACAGGAGAAAGTTTTAGGTGGGATGGTCTTACCCTTATCGCATTATGAATAAGGGTTATTAAATTGATTATAATACTTGACAAGATTTTAATGAACAAATATATTGATGATATGGTGTGTCTGGCTATCCTATCCTAGCTGTTCTCAATAATTGAGAGTAAAATATAGGTTTTGCTTTTATTTCGATTATTTGTCCTTGTAAGTAATTATAACTAGGTATAGTTAATCTAAAATTTTATTAGATGTATGTGGAAAGGATTTTCATGGTTGCATATAGCTTTTAACCTTTAATTGTGAAGATACTTCCATATTTCTTATTTTATTATCCCTGCATCCTATGAATACTTTATGCTATTGAACTTCTAGGAGAAAAGACAAGAAGAGGAGGAAGCTAAGGTACAACAAGATGTGCAGATCAATCAAGAAGTTGTTCATGCTAACATGGCTAGGGATTTAAGCAGTGAAGTATGTCATACAATTTCTCCCTTCTAATTCTGTACAATTATATTTGCACTATGCTTAAATTTTGACTGAGCTCTTAATAATAGCCAAGGAGGTCAGTTTCTTGCAACCACAAATTAGAGAAAAACCTGCTGTGAGAAAGCAATGACGGTCTTGTTGGCATGACCTTTTTGATGAATAAGTTAACTAAAATGTTTTCTAAGTGCTACTTTCACTATTATTTTAGCTGACTTAAGTTAAGTAATTATTTTTTATTCTCTTTTCTCTGTAATTTTTGGTGAGAAAAATCTAATCCCTTGTAATTTTTTGTCTGAGCTCAGCTCAGATTTGAGCACCTATAGTTTTAGGGAAAGGATTTACTAATTTTATGACTTGGACTTATATTAAATTACATTAAGGTTAAAAGTTTAGACTTATGTGGGAAGTATTCCACAAAAATGTCTTTGAGAAAGTAAATTTAAGCTGTTTTATGCTGTATGACAATTTTTAGAGGCGTGGACCAATGTCATACATGTTTTAACAAAACTCAAGTCTTATATTTACAGCATGTAAAACGCCATTAACATCTTAAATTTTCAACTGTTTTCAGCTTACTGAAGTTGATAGTCAATTGGAGAAGCTCAGAGAATCGGTAATTCAGAAGTGTAGGTTGGTATAAGGACCCAGTTTTACTGCAACTCTGCATTCATTTTCTATTCTTGTTCAATCAATGCTGACTGTGAAGTGTGAATGCCTGACTGCAGAAAAATGTCGACTGAAGAGAAGAAAAAACTTGGGGTAGCTCTTACTCGGTTAACCCCGGAAGATCTCAGTAAGGCATTGGAGATTGTTGCTGAAAGTGACCCTAACTTCCAAGCAACGGCCCAAGAAGTGGACCTAAACATCGATGCTCAGGTCAACATTTAATATTGCACCTAAAATTATTGTCTAATATCATTCATCCTCTTGAGTTTTAATCAATTTATTTAGCAAAGCTTACATCACTGACATTCATACATAATTTTATAATTAATCTGTACTTCATATCAACGCAGAGTGAGACAACGTTGTGGAGGTTAAAGGTTTTTGTACAAGAAGCACTAAGAGTTGCAAGCAAGAGTTCTGGAGATACAGGTGGCAACAACCACAACGACGATAACGACAATGACAACAGCAACAAAAAGAACAATAACAAGAACAATATCAAACGAAGAAGAGAGATTTGCGATACACTCACCAAGACTGCAGTAAAGAGGAGTAAGAAGTCCCCAAATACATGAGTAATCCCCTTGCACCTAAGTATATGGTTTTAAGCTCTGAAAGCTAAACATATTCTATTACAAATTTCGATCCATCATTTTGGCCTTGTAAATGCCCTCAAGAACAGCTTTTGACCAGTGTGTCAGACATTAATGCTATTATATTTTCTTCTACATATGTTTCTCAGAGTAGAGATTTCTGGGTAGTCTAAAATTATCTAGTGTACTGTAATGGCATCTTTCTGTGGTATTATGATATAAATAAATAAATATAACATTTATACATTTTAACTGGTGGCATTAGCTTGTATATTAACAGCATAACACTGTCTATTTCAACTTACGGCTTTAGAGACGATCTAAGTAAAATTACAACAATGCAATCAAAACTAATTTTTTCAGGGTCATCACAAGCTCTTTGCACCTTCATGTCAACCTTATCAGGTATGTCAACGACTGAATCACAAGGAACCTCTCAAACTCAGAAGTGATACGAATAGTTAAAGAATAATTCTACATTTATAACTTTTTCATACAACTTTGATGTGATTGTTCGCTATTGGTTTGTTTGTAGTGAATCTCATCTGTCCAAATGCAAACTGATCAATCGCGAGCACTGTTTTAAAAACCGACCCGTTGTAAGGTTCGGTAAGGTGATCGGGTCACGGGTCAACCGATCCAACCAGTTGAACTGTCGGTTGGACTAGTGAGATGAGATTGAAAATTTTTTTTGAGTCTATTTAATTGTGTTTTGTAGAATTTAAAAATGCAAATGGAGTAATGGACGCATAGCAAAATGGGTTTTTATTAGAACTCATGGAGCCTTTATGTTTTGTTGGAAAATGAAGGCCCAGTCCCAATTACACCTACACACCTCAATCATTTATCATTTCAAATTATCAAATGATACGTGTACGTTCATAATTATTGGCATGTGAGAGGTAGGACAAGCACTGCTTAACTCCAGCCATGTGTGGGTGAGGGCATCTATGAATACTCTAGAAAATCTCCAACACAACTCAACAGATATGTGACTGTGATGGAGGAAAACAAAGAGAGAAGAGAGCAAGTGCAAAAGCAGAAGGTTGAGGAAGTTGAAAGAGATGCATAGAAGAAGAACGATTTTGATACAAAAACAATCGGTGTTGGAGCAATGGTAAAGGAGCTGATTCGTAAATCCATAATTACTCAACAAGATGATGACCGAGATGAGCAAGCTCAACATCCTAATGATGGACTGAGTGTTTACTCTACTATCTAAGAGTGAAACGAAGCCGACGTAGTGCTGTAGTCACGATTTTGTTAACGAATTCCAGGCCTTCGATTTCGATGAAGAAGATTGGATTTCGATGGAGGAAGTAAGTTGAAGAAGATGAGGAGGTAACTGTAAACTTTACACTTTAGAGAAGATGAAAATGGAAGCTGCGCTTTGGAGATGAAAATGGAAGTTGCAGCGACTGAAATGGCCTATGGCGAATGAAACCGATGCAAGGGAATTAAGATTAGGTTTTTTTTAAGGCTCAATTAACGGACCAGAATAAATTTTGGGCCCCTCAGGCCAGACAATTTGTACTGTAACATCGGTCCAATACCGATCCAAAGCGGCTCTTTTAGTATTAACGGGTTTAATAATAATCCGGNATTATCTAGTGTACTGTAATGGCATCTTTCTGTGGTATTATGATATAAATAAATAAATATAACATTTATACATTTTAACTGGTGGCATTAGCTTGTATATTAACAGCATAACACTGTCTATTTCAACTTACGGCTTTAGAGACGATCTAAGTAAAATTACAACAATGCAATCAAAACTAATTTTTTCAGGGTCATCACAAGCTCTTTGCACCTTCATGTCAACCTTATCAGGTATGTCAACGACTGAATCACAAGGAATCTCTCAAACTCAGAAGTGATAAATACGTATAGTTAAAGAACAATTCTACATTTACAACTTTTTCATACAACCTTGATGTGATAGCTCGCTATTGGTTTGTTTGTAGTGAATCTCATCTGTCAAAATGCAAACTGATCAATCGCGAGCACTGTTTTAAAAACCGACCCGTTGTAAGGTTCGGTAAGGTGATCGGGTCACGGGTCAACCGATCCAACCAGTTGAACTGTCGGTTGGACTAGTGAGATGAGATTGAAATTTTTTTTTGAGTCTATTTAATTGTGTTTTGTAGAATTTAAAAATGCAAATGGAGTAATGGACGCATAGCAAAATGGGTTTTTATTAGAACTCATGGAGCCTTTATGTTTTGTTGGAAAATGAAGGCCCAGTCCCAATTACACCTACACACCTCAATCATTTATCATTTCAAATTATCAAATGATACGTGTACGTTCATAATTATTGGCATGTGAGAGGTAGGACAAGCACTGCTTAACTCCAGCCATGTGTGGGTGAGGGCATCTATGAATACTCTAGAAAATCTCCAACACAACTCAACAGATATGTGACTGTGATGGAGGAAAACAAAGAGAGAAGAGAGCAAGTGCAAAAGCAGAAGGTTGAGGAAGTTGAAAGAGATGCATAGAAGAAGAACGATTTTGATACAAAAACAATGGGTGTTGGAGCAATGGTAAAGGAGCTGATTCGTAAATCCATAATTACTCAACAAGATGATGACCGAGATGAGCAAGCTCAACATCCTAATGATGGACTGAGTGTTTACTCTACTATCTAAGAGTGAAACGAAGCCGACGTAGTGCTGTAGTCACGATTTTGTTAACGAATTCCAGGCCTTCGATTTCGATGAAGAAGATTGGATTTCGATAGAGGAAGTAAGTTGAAGAAGATGAGGAGGTAACTGTAAACTTTACACTTTAGAGAAGATGAAAATGGAAGCTGCGCTTTGGAGATGAAAATGGAAGTTGCAGCGACTGAAATGGCCTATGGCGAATGAAACCGATGCAAGGGAATTAAGATTAGGTTTTTTTTAAGGCTCAATTAACGGACCAGAATAAATTTTGGGCCCCTCAGGCCAGACAATTTGTACTGTAACATCGGTCCAATACCGATCCAAAGCGGCTCTTTTAGTATTAACGGGTTTAATAATAATCCGGACCGGAGTGAAGCCTGAGTCTCGGTCGGACGGGTCCAGGTTTTAAAACAGTTTAAAACAATGATCTCCACCTATCACCTTAAAATTGTATAAAAAAGTTGGAAATGTAGTAAAAACATTCTGTAAATGAGAGTGCAAGCAACAGCCAAGATTAATGTAACAAGGAGATATCTAACATTTTCGGATTCGGAAACTAGCCCTTTGATTGTCTGAAACGCATAGGTGTTATTAAAAGCATCAAAATGAGATCAAAGACCCAAGATGATCTACAAATGCATACAAAGCACAGAGTGAACTGGACAAAAATATATGTCATTTAGTTAAGGACTGCCATCAACAGTCTATACATAAATAACTAGTAGATTGGAATCAAGGGAACAAAAGAAAAGTAGTCGCCGTATACGCCAATTATAAATGAGGTTGATTACTCCAAGAGACCACAAGTTAACTCAATATATCATCACTGGCTAGTTGCTATTCCAAGTACCAGAACAACGCACATGCCCAGATGAAAGACCCGGCTCATCCTGTGATTTGATTGTGCCATTGCTCGTCGTAACAAAATCATTGTTACTACTGAATCACTGAACTTCCAACTAGTAACCCCCTGTGGCACCGAATGAATCGTCAACATGCTTCCATATTCCCATAATATCAGTCCGAGGAAAAAAAAATGTGAGTATTAGATCATCAAATTAGAGCACAACATATCTCTACATTCCAGAGTAAATTCACTTACATTTTCATTTCACCACTGCTCCTACATCAACTGCTGCTGCTGTTGCTACTTTTCTTAAATGACAATCGATGAACTTGCGAAAGCAGGGTGTCCATGACTCTTGAAGGAACTGTTTTGTTTGTTGGCACTTCCTTTGTAGTCAATTGAATTTCAAAATCCCGCCAGAACTTGATGATGTGTAGATTCTCTTCTTCTGTTGACCTCTGGATGACAATTCTTGAGGCATAACCCTTCTCCCTCATTTGGAGGCATATTTGTGAAGGATTGTTAGTGGTAAGAGTCACCAGGTATAACCAGCCTCTATCTGATAAGAGTTTTTCAGCAATGGGCAATATCTTATCAATAACGCTCCGGCCATTCTCTCCTCCAGCCCAAGCAGAGGCTATTCCTTCACGACCCACTTCATCTTCAGGTGTTGGTACATATGGTGGATTCACAACTATCACATCAACTGACCTTGCCAGACGCTTTTCCAGTCCTGATGCGATGCTGGTGTTTATCAACTCTGCATGAACACCATGTGCTTCCAATGTAGCATGGGTTACTTGGACTGCGTGAGGGTTTATATCAGTGGCAAGATAGTGAATCCCAGAATCATCCTCCCCGAGCATAAGAGCTAAAGAAGTTATAACATATCCACTACCACAACCCACTTCCATGCACAAAGTTGGACGATGCTCTAACAAGTTAACTCGATCCGCTAGAAGTGCATCAACTAGAGCGAAAGAATCATCACATGGTTCATAAACCTCAGGATGTGAATGGACAAGGCGTATTTGTGCAATTTTTGAAGACATCTTTTCATAAACTGACATAAGAAATATGCATGTTATGTGAACTCAATGAGTAAGACACTTAGAAAAACTTCAACTACTGGAAACCACTTCTAAAAGTTACATACCATCTAGTACAGAAATTTATTTAGTTTTTCAGAAAATATTTATCAGCAATAAGCACTAGACGTCTCCTAATTATTCAATGGTTCATCAATCAGGTAAGTTTGCCATCCGTTCCAAAAAGGAAGAAAAAGAATAACTGACTAGTTTTTTCTAGCTCCAGTTTTAGGTTGATGTGATCATGCTCAAAAGCAAAACTTACATATTGGTTCTATCCTACAGCCAAAATTTCGAAAGTAAAAAAGCGGCAGCTAAAAAAATTAGAGAGGGTTATGGATCACATGTTTCACTGCTTATTAATACAATTTTGAATGCATCATATAATCAGACTGCGGTGGCTAAGTTCAGATAGAAATGCACCATACATGCATATCAAATTGACAAATCATACATAGGTTAACAATAATATTAACTCATGGATTCAAGCATCATTAGAAATCTCAAACCTAAACTTTGAGAACTGTCTACTATATCTTTTCTCCTACAAAAGGAGCCCTAAAGAAAAACCCAAAGAGACCCATTTGAGAGAAGAGAAAAGAGAAAAGAAAATGTAGGAAAGAGAGAAAATATCAGTTGAATTACCAAGAGCATTACCTTTCAATAGTTAAACCACTCTTCACAGACTCTAAAACTACAAATATAGACAAAAACAAAACACAAACTTATTGTTTTGCTTCTGATTTCTCACAAATTCCACACCTCCTTCTACAAAATCAATCCCTTGTAGCCTCCCACATTTACATTACGGAACCAACGTCATTCCTTAAAGGGTGTTTACAAATTAACCCAACGAATATCCACTTTCTAAAATTTAATATGCAATTATTATTCTCTTCAAAAGACTGTAAATTTCCAAGTGTTCCAACACAAAAACTTGTTTTTGGCAGCACCCCACATATCAAAAACAAAATTTTATAATTAAATGAAACTAAAAAATGAAAACCTATTTGTGTGAAGCTAAAATGAAGTTATTACTCTCTTCAGAAGGCAGTAAATTTCCAAGTGTTGCAACATCAAAACTTGTTTTTGGCAACACCCAAAATATCAAAATTTGCTTTTGGCAACACCCACGTATCAAGAAACGAAATTTTTACAATGAAATGGACAAAGAAAATGAAAACCTACTTTTGTGAAGTTAAAACGATCTCTTCAAAAGGCAGTAAATTTCCAAGTGTTTCAACATCAAATCTTGGTTTTCGAAAGAACCCACATATCAAAAGCAAATATTTAAAAAGAAATGAATAATACAAATCCAATGCAGAATTTTAATCGAACCCATAATATGCATCAATCTAAAAGCTCATAAACATGAATAAAGCTTAGTGTTTTGAACTGTTACCTGTGGTACGAATCCACCGAGAAATTAGGGCTTTCAATTTGAGCTGTGCAGTTCAGTTATGAAAACTGAATTTCCAAGCGTAGGTAAGAAATTCGATTGGGTATTTTTATATTCCTTTATGTTTTGTCATAAATATTGTTTTATGAAAATAGTATTTGAAATAATAATTCCAGAGATTTGCAAAAAAATATTGATAGAATGAATGTACCAAGAGCTTTTGTATGTTAAAGTGACTTATGATTAAATACATATTTGTTTCACTGGAAAATTTTCTCCTATTTATAAAGGAGAGCCAATCTTTACTCCTCTTTCTCTTTAAATAAAACCATTTAAAAGTAGGCTGAATCACATTTTCCCACCCGAAGTTTTCCCTAACAAAATTACTACCTAAAAAGTTTAAAAATAACAATTACCCATCAACTGTTAATTATGTCCTTTAAATTATGTCCTTTAATTTGAAATTAAAAAGGATGAGAAAGTAAATTAAAATACAGTCAAAGGGTAATTATATCATTTTATGCCCAATTTGTGTTAAAAAAACCATCTTCTTCTCATCTCCCTCCTCCTCCCATCTTCTCTTCTTCATCTCCCCCTTCTCTGTAGGAATTTCGCTGCCTTTTCGACAGTCAACATCTCCTAGTAGGCAACCCTACCACTCTCCCTGCCCTTTCCAGCCACCTGCTTGCCAACAACCGCCCCTAGCAGCCAAATTTGCGCCTCCTGCCATCCAAGTCCCTTAACATCCCGATCGACTCACTCCATGACATCCATCATCTGCCCCTTGCCTCATCGTGACTGTTTCACGTGCCCTCCACTACTCCCTTAGCCGCTCCAGCTAGCTCCCTTGAGGTTTGATTTGGTTGGTTGTTTTGAGTTGAGAATGGAGATTGGATTTTGATTTGTAGTTGGGATTAGAGGTTGATTGTTGTTGATTTGGAGTGTTTGATTTGTTTTTAAGACAACCCGCAGCCACCACTTGCCGTGGACGACCTCTATCCTCGCTGTTCACCCACCATAGCCATCACTACAACCTACCCCCCAAACTGTTTGATAAAATGCCCTAACTAGCCCACACACTAAGCCCAGCCATCTCCCCCACTGCGCACGCGAAGAGCGTGCAGTACACACCTGGCCAAGGGTGATTTGGTTGGAATCGCGCCTGGCTAGGAGCGATTCCAACCAGCCAAATAAGCAATATTCTGAAAACCAGATCGGACAATGACCCGTTCAAGGGTTCGGTTTTCGGTTTGACCGGTTTGACAGGTTGGATTGGTCGGTTGGACTGTAATTTATAAAATTACATTTTAGTCTTTGAAGGTTTGAAATTCATCAAAAACATTCCTATAATACTCCCTTAAGGTTTGAAATCTATCTAAAACACCCCTGTCGTTCGAAGATTCTGGTGAGTGGTGGCAGTAGCGACGATCGACGGCCAATAGAAGCTGGAATCTTGGGGCTTTTGATGTGTAGGTGCCGGCGACTCTGATGGTGGTGCTAGGGAGTTTCATCGTCGTCGGAACTCACCAGAATCAACGAAAGAAATCTGACATCGCGTCACACGTGAACTTTAGGTGGACCGCGATCGACGTAGGCTAGACAATGGCAGCTGAAAATGGATGGTTTGGTCGTGGAGATGCCGTCCGTCAAATGGGGGTGTTTTCTCCGTCGAAAGATGCCGGAATCCGGTGGGGTTTAGCTGCGATTGGACCGCTATTCGGTACTATTCCAGCAGTCCAACTGAGGTCCAATCCGGTTTAAATCAAAATGACAGTTTTTTATATATACCGGACCGAATTTGCCACCAGTTGTCGGTCGAACCGGTTTGACCAGGCGGTCCGGTCCAGTTTTCAGAACATTGCAAATAAGATCTGAGATTTGGATTCAAAGAAGAAAGGGTACTTTCGTCTTTACAGTTACTGCACCATATCAAATAACAGATTTTACCCTAGTTAGTAAATTTGTGAATTAAACACGAATTATATGCCCAACCTTATAATTCGTGTATTATTCATGAATTTCCGTATTTTATCATTCTAGTGGTATTATACATGAACTATATGCCTCAGATGTTTTATTCGCGTATTCGAATTTTTTTCAAATTTTTACAAACGTATTTTTCACAATTTGTCGTATCATACCTGTAAAATTCCCGTATCCTTTTTTTGTTGTACTCGTATATTTAAAATGCTATATTTATTTTAACCATATGGTCCATGAAAAGTACTAAAATCAAGATTGATATTGCTGTATTTTTCAAAACGTGTTATTGACAATATGCTGTAATAAACGCGTATATACCCATACTGTATTTTTCTCGTATTCGAATTTTATGGCCGAATTTTTACAAATATATTTTTCATCATTTGTCGTATTATACTCGTAAAATTCCTATACCCTTCTTTTTTGTCGTACTCGTATTTACTAGATAGGGATTTTACTAATAGATCTTAGCAGCGGGTGCGTAATTGTCGTACATATATCAACACTGGGTGGGTAATTGTCATTTTCAAAATTTTTGGTAGTAAATTGTCCTTGGGGCAAACTTCGGGTAGGAACATGTCATTCGGCCTTTTAAAGTATTTATAAATGCCTTTAATGCAATGAGCACATTAAAAAAGCCAAAAAAATATGATAATAATAATTTATTTTACTTTTTATTTTGATTGTTACAACACGTAAGGGTACTTATTTTGATTTTAATTGGTCTACATGAAAGAGTAACATAAAAACCATGTTTTACAATAAGAAATTTATCATTAGCATTTCAATTAGGTTTTTCTAACCCACTCTGTTATTTTAGTTGCATTCAATATCACTAATAACAATATATATATATATATCTCACACAACATCGTTTTAGTAAAGTTTATCGAATGAATAACATAGAATTTCCCATTTATTCATTTGAACTAAAATCGACATTTTAGCTTATAATAGAATACTACATTAAAGATCAACTATAGATTGTGGATTATATTAGCATATGTTATTTTATAAATAACATTACTTGAAATGAATAATACAAATCCAATGCAGAATTTTAATCGAACCCATAATATGCATCAATCTAAAAGCTCATAAACATGAATAAAGCTTAGTGTTTTGAACTGTTACCTGTGGTACGAATCCACCGAGAAATTAGGGCTTTCAATTTGAGCTGTGCAGTTCAGTTATGAAAACTGAATTTCCAAGCGTAGGTAAGAAATTCGATTGGGTATTTTTATATTCCTTTATGTTTTGTCATAAATATTGTTTTATGAAAATAGTATTTGAAATAATAATTCCAGAGATTTGCAAAAAAATATTGATAGAATGAATGTACCAAGAGCTTTTGTATGTTAAAGTGACTTATGATTAAATACATATTTGTTTCACTGGAAAATTTTCTCCTATTTATAAAGGAGAGCCAATCTTTACTCCTCTTTCTGTTTAAATAAAACCATTTAAAAGTAGGCCGAATGACATTTTCCCACCCGAAGTTTTCCCTAGCAACAATTACTACCCAAAAAGTTTGAAAACAACAATTACCCATCAACCGTTAGTTATGTCCTTTAATTTGAACTGAAAAAGGATAAGAAAGTAAATTAAAATACAGTCAAAGGGTAATTATGTCATTTTATGCCTTATTTGTGTTTAAAAAAACCATCTTCTTCTCATCTCCCTCCTCCTCCCATCTTCTTCTTCTTCTTCTTCTTCTTCATCTCTCCCTTCTCCGTCGGAATTTCGCTGCCTTTCGGACAGTCAACATCTCCTAGTGGGCAACCCTTCCACTCTCCCTGCCCTTTTCAGCCACCTGCCCGCCAACAACCGCCCCTAGTTGCCAGATTTCTGCCTCCTGCCATCCAAGTCCCTTAACATCCCAGCCGACTCGCTCCATGATATCCACCATCTACCCCTTGCCTCATCGTGACTGTTTCACGCGCCCTCCACTACTCCCGTAGCCGATCCAGTCGGCTCCCTTGAGGTTTGATTTGGTTGGTTGTTTTGAGTTGAGATCGGAGATTGGATTTTGATTTGTAGTTGGGAGTGGAGGTTGATTGTTTGATAGAAACCCACTCCAATAACTTAACAAGTTGGGCTGGGCCATGGGTCTTTCATGGGCTTGGGTAGAACTCTCTTTGGAAAATCAGCTTGCCAAGGGAGGGTGCCCAAGCCTTTATAACCTACATGCCCATCCTTTTCCCTTTCAATGTGGGATCCTAACATTCTTTTACGCTTCGAAACCCAATGCCCTCGTTGGTTTTCTTTCCATAGAGCGCCCACCCTCATTGGCTACCCCGCCCTTATCGGCCTTTACTGCCCTCCCTTTGGGTCTTACTTCGCCTAGAAGCCTGTCAGGCCCTAGAAGCCTGTCAGTAACTCTCCTTCTCGACCCTTCGGGAGGCCCACTGGGCCTTGCTGCGTGAGCTCCACGTCGGCCTCTTCACCCCTTGGGTGACTTCGAGGATCCTCTTTCCTTGGGGTAGCAACCTGAGCCTAAGGTCAGCCTGCCATGTGTGCGCATGATCATGCTCTGATACCAATTGATAGGAACCCACTCCAATAACTCAACAATTTGGGCTGGGCCATGGGTCTTTCATGGGCTAGGGTAGAACTCTTCTTGGAAAACCGGCTTGCCAAAGGAGGGTGCCCAAGCCTTTATAACCCACATGCCCACCATTTTCCCTTTCAACGTGGGATCCTAACATTGTTGTTGATTTATTTTTAAGACAACCCGCAACCACCACTTGTTGCGGATGACCTATACCCTCACTGTTCGCCCACCATAGCCACCACTACAGCCTATCCCCCAACTGTTTGATAAAATGCCCCAACTAGCCCACACACTGAGCCCAACCATCTCCCCTCACTGTGCACGCGAAGAGCATGCAGTACGCACCTGGCCAAGGGTGATTTGGTTGGAATCGCGCTTGGCTAGGAGCGATTCTGATCGGCCAAATAAGATCTGAGATTCAGATTCAAAGAAAAAAGGGTATTTTCGTCCTTACAGTTACTGCACCATATTAGATAACAAATTTTAGTAATAGATCTTTAACAACGAGTGGGTAATTGTCACACATATATTAACGATGGGTGAGTAATTGTCATTTTCAAACTTTTTGGGTAGTAAGTTGTCGTTGGGCAAACTTCGGGTAGAAACATGTCGTTCGGCCTTTTAAAGTATTTATAAATTCCTTTAATGCAATAAGCACACTAAGAAAGGCAAAAAATATATGATAATAATAAGGGAGAACGGCATTTTCCCACCCAAGGTTTAAAGAAACGACACTTTCCCATCCTTCGCTATGTTTTATTATATTTTCCATTAATATTTTATGCAAAAATACTCTTAAATATTTGATTTCATAATTTTTTTATTATTTTTTAATTAGCTGAAAAGTTAAATATTAAAAAGTCAAAAAAGAAAAAATAGTTAACCCCACCTAAAAGTTATGAGTAATGCTATGATATTGTTTAAAGTTAAATGACTTTAATATTTATTTATAATGTCATCAATATCTCATCACTATTATTCAATACTCAACTAAATTTATAATGTTTTTTAGAATATAATGTTTTCTATTTTTACTAATTAATATAGAAAATCAATATTCTTAATTAATTAAATAAACAAAGGAAAAATGATATTTTTACACTTGAACTAATAAATAATCAACTAATTAAGAAATAAACCATTTAAAGGTATTTTCGTCTTTTTAGTGAAATATTAACGGAAAACACTAATAGAACCTAATGAAGGGTGGGAAAGTGTCATTTTGAAACTTGACGGGTGGAAAAGTGTCGTTTCACCAAACCTTGGGTGGGAACATGTCGTTCTCCCTAATAATAATTTATTTTACTTTTTATTTTGATTGTTACAACACATTAGGATACTTATTTTGATTTTAATTGGTCTACATGAAAGAGTAACATAAAAACCATGTTTTACAATAAGAAATTTATCATTACCATTTCAATTAGGTTTTTCTAACCCACATTGTCGTTTTAGTTGCATTCAATATCACTAATAACAATATATATATATATATCTCACACAACATCGTTTTAGTAAAGTTTATAGAATAAATAACATAGAATTTCCCATTTATTCATTTGAACTAAAATCGACATTTTAGCTTATAATAGAATACTACATTAAAGATCAACTATAGATTGTGGATTATATTAGCATATGTTATTTTATAAATAACATTACTTCTTGGTAACATATTGCATAATTCTTTCGAGAATATGTTAAAGATATTTGAATAAAGTTACCAACTCTTGCTGCAACCTTTGGACCTCGATTTAAAGACTACTTGGGAGCAACGTTAATATAGCATTAGGATAAAGTTAATCTCTTAAGGAATGTAATGAACAATATAGCATTGGGGATCATGTTATAACTCTTGTTATCAAGATGAAACAAAGAAAAGAAAACAAAGTTTGGAAGTACTGTGTTGCCTTGTAATATAGTATGACACTTGTCATTAAGTTATTCTACCAAGAAATAACATAAAAAAGCAACTTCAAATCATTAGATCATATCATCAAAATGATGACAAAATAATGAAGCCAAATAGTACCATTTCATTTATACTTTATAGTACAATTTGTTTTCTTTCACTTTTGCATGCCTCAATAATGACCAAAAATTAACACTCCTCAAAACCAAGAGCAGAAAAATACCCTCCTAATTTCACATATAACAAGAGGAGAAACTATATAAAAAAGAAAAGCACCAAAAATTGAGTATTTCTTATTATATTGATCATTGGATGTGAAATGTGTTTGGTTGTTTAGCTTCAGCAAGCATTTGAACAACTTCTCTCATGGTTGGTCTCTCCACACTTTGCTCTTGAACACACAACATGGCAACAAAGAACACTTGCATTGCTTCATTTACTGGGATGTTACTTAGTCTTTGATCAAGGATCTTCACAACTCTTTCTTTCATTGAGTTTGTTTGCATTTTTGTCCATTGAACAATGTCTAGTCCGTCTTCACCGAAATCGCCCACAGGCCTCCTCCCTGTTATTAGCTCTAGCAACACCACTCCGAAACTATACACATCGCTCTTCTCATCGACTCTCAATGTATAAGCATACTCTGCAACAATCCAATAAATAAAATATTTGAAAATGGATCAACTCCCTAAGAATGACAATGCAATGCAACTTAGCTGTGAGTGATTGTCAGAAAAAAGAAAAGGCAGCTATAGATATGCTTTGTTAATGTGTATTATAAACTATATAATATACATCACATGTATCTTTTATTCTAGGGTTTAGTAAAAGTATAAAGCTTAGATCCCAATCAGCATATTGTTCTTGGGAAGACCACTATGCTTTCTATTCATGGGTACATTTAGTTATTGTTAAATGTAGTCTACCTTGATTTTGAGTCAAAAAAAATAAAAAATAAAAAAGGTAGCTTGTGATTGTTTGAAAGAAGACGGGTTTGAGTGGTAGGACCAAGAGAAAGAGAAAAAGTAAAATCAAGAATTTTCCTTTGTGTTAGTGGAGCCTTTATCCTTTCTTGAACTCCACATCACTCTTCTTATTACTATTTCGGTCTAAGAAAAGTAAAACAAAGTATATTCTTCAAACTTTACTTCACCAAATAAAAACAAATATAATCATGAAATTTTCGAACTGTATAATCATATTACAAGAGTAATGTTAATTCGGACTCAATGAGTCATCATTGCATCAAGTCAAAAAAGGTCTAAAGTTAGTAACCAAGTTTTGGGTCCGTTGGTTCAAAAGGAATTGGTTAAAAGAATAGAGAAAACTAAGTTAAATGAAGTAGTGTACCTGGAGCTATATAGCCATAAGAGCCAGCAATTGCAGACATGCACTCTGAATTTCCTGAGTCTTGCAAGAACTTTGCAAGGCCAAAATCTGCAACATGAGCCTCAAAATCTGAGTTGAGTAAAATATTATTCGACTTCACGTCGCGATGAATGATCAGTGGCGAACAATCATGGTGCAAATAACACAGGCCTTTTGCAGCTTCTATGGCAATCTTTAATCTGGTATCCCAAATCAGATATCCCCCTCTTTTGCCATGCAACACTTCACCTAAACTTCCATTTGGCATGTACTCATAAACAAGCAAATTAGACACTTTATTGGAACAAAATGCCATCAACCTCACAATGTTCCTGTGCCTAATTCTACCTAATGTTTGAATTTCTGCAGAAAGGCCATTATCATGAGATGACCCTTTTGTTATGCCTAATAGTTTCTTCACTGCAACTTGTTCTCCGTTTGGCATTTCTCCTCTGTACACAATCCCAGCTCCTCCTCTCCCTATCACATTGTTATCCTTTACACATTCCAGGATGTCTTCACTTCCGAATTCAAGCTTCTGGAATGCAGTGAGCTTCCAAGAATTCGAACCTTTTCGTACCTTTCGCGTCTTGATGATGGCTAGAACTGCAAATACTAGTGAACATACCAGCAACCCCAGAGCAAATAGAAGCTTGTACTTTCCTGGAACATGAGACTTAGTACCATTTTCGCTGTGGAATTGCATTGGCGAATTTGCCGAATAGTTGCACGGATTCAAGTTGGATCCACAGAGCTGAGGATTACCAACAAAAGATGTGGAGTTGAAGAATGAATACTGTCCAAATTCAGGTATCATGCCTGAGAAATTGTTATGGGAAAAATCTGCTGAAGTTAGACTCTTCATGTTGCCAATTTCCTTTGGGAGACTTTCATTCAAGTTGTTCCAAGACACATTGAAATAATTCAATATGTGAATTTGAGTAACCTGAACAGGAATTGGACCTGAGAGTTGGTTCTGGCTCAAGTCTAAGTAAGTTAACTGGACACAATTGCCAATCTCAGGCGGAATCCTGCCGGAGAAGTTGTTTCCACTCATATCCAAGTGCAGCACATTCTTCAACCGGCCTATTTCTGATGGAATTTCTCCTGTTAACTTGTTGCCACTCAGTTGAAGATTCTCCAAGCTAGAGAAATTGCCAATGGAAGCAGGAAGTGACCCCGTTAACCGATTATTCGAGAGATTCAATCCGGAAAGTTTCGCAGGAACCTTGCCGGTTACTGCGGGAATTCTGCCAGTGAGATAGTTGTTCTGCAGCTCTATGAGTTGCAGCTCAGGCAAGTACAGCAAGCCATTTGGAATTGATCCTGTCAAATAATTTTGCCACATCCGAACTTTTACCAGAGTGTCACACTGACCAAGATCCTGAGGAAGAGGACCAAACAAGAAATTGTTGAACAGAATCAAAGTGGTGAGCTTCCTTCCAAGGCAGAGAGATTTAGGGACTAATCCTGTGAGCTTATTGGTCGACAAATCGAGCACTTTCAACCTGCCATTTTCTCCAAGCTTTGAAGGAATTGCCCCAGTGAAATTATTCTGCCATAGCTGTAGAACTTCCAGATTGCTCAGCTCTGAAATGGAATGAGGGATCTCCCCATGAAACCTGTTGGAAAACAGGTGCAAGAGTGTGAGCTGGCGAAGCGACGACAACTCGAGAGGGATCTCTCCGGTTAAGCCATTTTTTGAAAGATCAAGAGTCTTCAAGCTACTCAAATTCCCAAGTTCAGGAGGAATTGAACCACTCAGCTCATTGACTTGCAAGAAAAGAGTGTCTAACTTGTTTAGATTGCCCAACTCAGCAGGAATTGGACCCTTTAAGCTACAATTGGCAAGGTCTAAATGAACCAAATTGATTAATTTTCCAAACTCAGGTGGGATTCCTCCATCAAAATCATTGTAATACCCCAAGTATAGCTGCTGAAGATTTTTCAGGTTTCCAAGCACTGCGGGAATGGTTCCACTCAAGTCATTCCCTCCAAGATGGAGATAAACAACCTCCTCAAGACCTCCATAGCCTGGAGGAATCTCCCCACTGAAGAAATTCCCACCTAAATGCAAGTGTTGCAGCTTTGAAATTTGAGTGACACCAACAGGAAGTGAGCCATTGAGCTCATTGTTATAAGCATCAAGAACAAGCAGCTCCTTCAACTGAGAGAATTCCCACTTCAGCTCTCCACCAAATATGTTGTTGCTCATGTTCAAGACCCTCAGCCCTGAAAGCTTGTGAATTTCCTGAGGAAACTCACCGGTGAAACTGTTATCCGACACCGAAAGATTCACCAGGCTTACAAGTTCAGTGATCACAGGTGACAGAGAGCCAGAAATATTCAAACTAGAAATGTCAAGAGACACAACAGATGTGTTCATGATACCACACCCAATTCCAGGCCAAGAACAAAGAGACCTATAGTTTGATAGATTCCATTCATTCAAAGAAGAATCAAAAGATTCAAATCCCTCTTTGAGGGCCACAAGAATTGCAGCTTGTCTTTTCAGAGAAGGGTTATGTAAAGGAACTGAATAAGAACAATGAAAAAACAACATAAGGAAAAAAGAGAAGAAGATAAACAATTTCACCCCAGAAGCAGCCATTGATAAAAGGCTTAAGTTTAGAGAGTCTATGAAACTTGGAGATGGAGAGGAATAAAGAGAGGGATCACCATTTTCATAGAGATGAAAAAGAGAAAGGTGCCACAATAAACAGCATCCAAGGTCATTTCTATTTTCTCTTTGCATACATGATCAGTGTATTTTGGTTTCATCTTTTGCTTTATAAAAGAAAAAGAGAAAGTGACTTAATAAAGTGTTATGTGTTGTGTGTGTGAGTGCATGGCAATGCACCATTTGATCAAAACCAATACTTAAGAATCTGTTCCCTTTTGAAGCCAAGATATATTATTTAATTTAATGCCCTCTTTGCTTTTTCTTTTCCTTTTCCTTTTCCTTTTTATAATATCAGATTTATGAATCTTCTACAGTTGAGGAGGTAGGACCTTGATCCATATATATCATGAATATCAAGAACAATATTATCTAGTTATATATATTTAAGCTCAAATTTCTCTTCAGGAAATGAAAATTTTTGCAGGCTTGACAGACAATGACAAGCAAACTGATTTATACTAATTTGTCAGTGGTTAAAAGATTCTTTATATTTTTAATTAAATAATTATACTTTTTATCGACCATCATTCTTTTATGTGGACGTTCTTATATATATAATATTAATATGGTCTCTAGTTAGGTCAAGGTCGGATGTAGTGCAGCAAATTTGAGATTGTACCAAGAGATGTCTGCCTGCAGTGCCTTCATAGCCATTTGTGAGTTGATGAGATTAAAAAATATTTTCCATGTTTTTCTTGGATTTGTTTTGGAAAAACATTTTCTTGGATTTCGCAATACATAGAAGACTTTTGTGTAACAATTTTTGTGATGTTAATCAATACTTTTTCTAGCTTTAGATCGTCTATTTGTCTCTATACTCACCATGAAATCTTTTGAATTTTCCTTTTTTTTTTTTTATGCATTTATAATTAAAGAATGTGAAAGAAGAGAACACACTAGAAATTGTATAAAAAATTGTGATTAGCGTTTCTCAACCATATTTTTGTAGTTTTTCTTTTTAAAATAAAATTATAAGATTTATGATTCTATTATGTTATTGTATCAACATGTCTATTTTACCGATCTTTTCTTTGAGATAATTATGCCGTGAAAGAATCAGCAGTATTTAATCATAATAAAACTTTTTTTTTTCAATAATTATTATTTCTTATCTAGTTCGTATCAATATATCTATTTCATCTAAATCTTTTCTGACAAAAATACCCTGATGTTACGTTGTGAAAGAATCAACACTACTTAATCATAATAAAACTTTTTTTTTATCTTCAATAATGGTTAACTAATCTTATTCAATTCATATTGACTTGATATTTCACCGATCTTTCTCTAAATCAGTGTTCAGATTATCAGGTAGTAAAGAAGTCAACACTGCTTAATCATAATAACTGTTAAATTTATCCAGTATTTCAAATACCTTAAAAGAAGGAAACCCTAATAATCATATTTTGTAGTCTTTTTGTTGGGAGGCAGCCAGCTATAGTTAATTAGTCAAGTTTGTTTATGATAGATGTACTTAATTGACTTAGTAAGTGGGTGTGTTTAATTAACTAGATTTTAATAATGAAAATCAAATAAGAAGAATATCAACATGGGGGATCCAAATCACCCTTTGAATCTTTTCTTTTTAGGTCATAGTATCTAGGACCATTTCTCTTTGTTATTTGGCTAGGATAAAGTATTTCATCAACCAACATTTATAAAAGAATAAAGCATTTGGGTTGATTTTAGAGCATGGTGGGATATTCAATTCATCACTTTATCTTTACTCTTCCTATTCTCATATTCTTCTCTCTCTCTCTCTCTCTCTCTCTTTCTCCCACAAATTTAATTCATGACTTTATCTTTACTCTTCCTATTCTCATATTCTTCTCTCTCTCTCTCTTTCTCCCAAAGAAAAAAAAAAAAGTTTTAGTGGGACTCACTTTTTTTTATATTGTATCATAGTTTAAAAAGTTTGCATGTTAGCCCCATTATGGAGTCTCTTCTTCTTCCAATTTGTGCCTGAAAACAAGGACATAGGCATTGGTGATGATATATACAAAGTCAGAGAATTATTATGAGCATAATAATGGGGTCTCCTCTTTCGAACCATATATTATACATATAAAAAGAGTCATTTTAATTTTCAAATAATTTCATGAACAAAAAGATATACATTACTTGCTTTTTTTTTTTTTTTCCATCTTCTATGTATGGACAAGTATTTTTGCTTCTTTTGATCCCCATGTGAAGGATTATTATTATTACTTCATATAAGAGTACTTTTTTACTTCTTTTGATCCCCTATGGAGAGTTGTTTGTTTCCAATTTTTATGATACTTGTTCACCATCAAAGGAATATTTACTATTACATGTTTATTTAAGTTGAAGATGAAGGGTACTTTAGTCATTACACAAAATTACATTATTATTAGCCATCAAAGACTTTTATGTGATTCTTTTTTGTAGGTTTTAAAACTGAGGGTTCATTTCAGTTTTCGACGTATAAACGACCCTTAAATGATAATATCACATTATTATAATTATTATTTTTATATCTAGATGAGTACTTCTTTTGATCCCATGTGAAGGGTTGCCTGTTTCCATACATGCTTCATCATCATTAAAGGAATCCCTAGCTACGTGCTTAATTCATAAATTGCAATTTCCACTTTACTTGGAGAGATGTCACATTAATTATTATAAGCTTAGATTGTATCTTTGAAATTATTACAATGGTGGTTTTCAAGATTAAAATCACTATCCTAACTCAATCTAGGTTTATTTCTCCCTTTGTGTTCCAAAAAATATCAGAAAGTCCCTTAAGATATAATAAATCCTCAAAAATATTTCATAAGATTTGGCGAAATCATTATAAAATGTGAAAGGAGGTGGCGAATGATTTAAAATACCTTTTGGGTCTTGGTAATAATTCTTCAAACGTCATGGGAGGTCAGGTAATAAAGCAACCTTGTCTCGACATTGCTTTTCCAAATGTGTGAAAAAATAATAGAAAAATCTAAACCCCTTGTTGTGGATGCTGATTGGTGAGACTAGTGATAAAGATCAAGATTTAATAAAATATATGGATCTTGTTTGATACCAAGAAGAATACTTGGATTATGGTCTAATGAACTCTCGAATCATTTTGAATAAGACAAGATGTATTGAGCTCTTGTGATAAATACAAAGAAACTTTTAGATGTCAAAACCAATGCCAACTTAGTGGAGGAGCACTTACTTAATATTCTTTTTATGTTACGTAAGGAAGCATGAATGCTTGTGAAATGTAATCAACTATGCATTTGCCTCAGTGTGGGGTATGAGTAGTTTAACTATTAAGAAGTTGTTATTGTTTTATTTTTTATTTTTTTCATCAGGGTGTCCAAGTCAACTTATATGCACCTCAACTAATCTCTTGAAGTCCTAGAACTGTCGCTCAAGTAAAAGCCCTAATGATACCCCTATTATATTGGGGGACTCGACCTCAGGAGCTCATGAAACATTTTTTTGCTCTTTTACCATCAAAACACCCAGTGGTACTTATTAAAAAGTTGATAAAACTTATTGAGATCTATTCCATTCACATATAGTAACGATGAAATTATAAGTTTTCTTGAGAGGAGAGAGAAGTTCGGTAAATCCTCTAAGTGGTTACATTGGTGCGATTCTCTCATAAAAATTATGGGTAATATATAATAGTAAGATGACATTATCACTTCATTTTACCATCAAATCAGTCTATCTGCATGCTATCACTTTTTTTTGAGTTTATTCGATGGTAAAAAATGGGAAGTAGGTTACCTACACTGTAATTATTCCTAACGTTTATAAAATTGCATAGTACAAGCAACATTTGTTGATAATAATTTTAGAATGGAGGAAGAACATAAAATTTTTTAATTACAATTATATTCTCACCTAAAGTAAAAGATAGAGACTATTTTTTTTTTTTTTTTTTTTTTTTTTTAGACAAATGAAACTTCCATCCATAAAAATATAACATACATATGAAAGCCATAAGATAGAAAACAAGCAAACTAATCCAAACGGATATTAACACGGCTTATCCTGAAGACAAATTCTCAAGATACTCATTGGGCAAAAAGTCAACAATTTGTAGGTACATATCTAATACTGCTATACCAATAACCTCATGCATTAACAAATTGCTTTCCTTTTGGTCAATTGAAAACCAACTGAGGAACAATTGAGGCTAGGTCGTAAAATCTCTTACAATTCCATCAATCTCCCGAAAAACCTTTTCCTTCTTGCAGACCTTAATAAAAATTTGGCTTACTAATTCGACTTTCACATTTAGCATTGGATTAATTTTTCCTCCCCTAAACACCATTTCATTCCGCTTTCATCTCATTTTCCCCTAATTTTATTTGAAAGCCCAATTATGGAGTAATTTGGAAATGCGTTATGGAGTTCAATGTAAAAAAGCCCAAACGACTATTTAGGCAATTGGGTCCAATTAGATGGAGAATAGACTTGGGGTAGCAATAATTTTTTTATTTTTTTATTTTTTATAACAGTTTGGTTTGATCACCCCCTCTGATGATCGCCACGTGTGATTAGGGTTTTTAGAAGAAGTAATTTGATGTTTTGCTGATGTACTTTTACAGGAAACCTAAGTTTATCAATAATGTGTGTGTAATTGGAGTAGAAGAATTTATTTCTTCACCAGAATATAGTGTTTTTTTTTTTTTTTTTTTTTTTTTTGGGTGACTTGGGTTACTCTCCTATTAGGTTTAAGGGGGTTCGAACTTAGAAAACTATATGTTAGTCTTTTGTTCTTTTATCATCAATCATTCAGTATGGTTAAACATAGAGTCAAGTCTTATATTATTATCTATAAATTATTTGAAGTTTAATTAAATCATTCAATAACCCAAACCCAGTTTTCTTGATTCCTCGCAATAAGATTATTAATTATCAAAATTAATTAATCTTTCTTATCTTAACATTGCATATATAATGGCATACTTGGCTGTGAAAAAAAATATTTTTAGGTATTCATGTTAGATCGAAGGTACTAAAATATATCTTTATGAACAAAGGATACATATAATAGTTTTAATCTAACATAAATTAAAGAAGTTTTGGTGAATT